TTTTTTTTTAAAACTTACTCTTGCATCATCTAAACCTGAATACTTTCCGTAATTAGTTTCTGATTAGATATTTAACTTTATCAATCATCATTAGTGCATGCAATGTATTTTCAATTTCTGAACTTATTGAATTTTTTAAACCTGGTGATACACGAAAAATTTCAAAAAATGATGAAATTACAGAATTCATAAATTTTTCAATATTCAAAGTTACAACCAGTAAATTATTTAAAACTAATACAGATGGCTACAAAGTATTATTATTTTTAGTAGGAAGATGTGAGGCCAATTTGGATGATTTAGGTTTAGCTTTTCAGGACATGAATATTGATTTGCAAGAATTAGCAGAATATATAAAAAATGTTGAACCTGTGCCTTGTGCTTTATCTGTACCCAAATTGCCTATTCATAAAGAAAACCATCTGAATTTTTTAAAGCCAGGTAGTCGAGAAGTTGTTACTCGACCTGTGCATGTTCATGAACACTTGCCTGCCATGTATCCCGAAGTTGAAGGTGGAAAATTTTTTTTTTTTAATGCTAAAATCAAAGATATGATCGATTTTACAAAAAAAACTGATGTCATTTGCAGAAGAATATAACAAAATGGAAGCTAAAGAAGTAGAAGCAACAAGTGCTGTGAATCAAGTGACTAACAGCTTTGAGGAAGAGTTCAATGATAATAATAACGTAGTATCTTTCAACGGACAAACAAGCGAAGATAGTCCTATAAAAGCTAGTAATCAGGCCGTCTTCAAGAGGCCAGGCGATCCAGTCTCGTTTGATGGGGCTGTTACAAAGCGCGCAAAATTGTCTGAAGAGAGCCGTCCGCTTCGTGAGATTCATAGTGTGATTATGACGACTTCGGGTTATTTGTCAACGGCTCGTGAAGGTAAGCTTCCCGAGGCAAGGACTCCTCAGCAGGAGCGCCCGGAATCTCCGCCTCCACTCTCACCTCCAACTCTGCCTCCCCCATCAACACTGCCGCATCCTCAGCCACAGACTCAGACACAACCGTCTACGCAGCCCAGTGTACCTGAAGTTAAAGCAGAAAAAAAAATAAAGAGAACTTTGAAGAAGACCGAGGATGGAAAGCCGGAAAATAAGGAGAATAAGAAAAGAAAAACAATCCCTAAAGACACACTGTTTCAGCCAGACGAGATTAAGGACGTTAAAACTAAAAAATTTGGTGGAACAAAGGATGTAGCTAAGGTGAAGGGGGCCAAGTCTGGAGCCAAGGTTATCAGTTCCAATTTAGCTGGGCCATCTAATATTCCTATATCAGGTAAACTGCAAGATAAATTGAACAGTGCATCATTTTTTTTTCATAAACGGTTAGCTGTAGTTGAAAATTTGCCAAAAAATTTTTTAGGAAAGCTGGCTGGTACTAGTCCAAAGCAAACAAAGAACAATGTGAGTAAAATAAAGGTTGACAAATCTGACAATCTGTCGAATTTGAGTATCCCGTTCATGAATGAACGTAAAGATGAACCGGTTGACAAGCTGCCTATTGAGCCAGACAAGCAAAAGCTGAACATATTCAAAAAAATTTCGTCCAAGCCTAAAGAAGACAAAGATCGAGTCTTTTCGGATCCCCAGCATAAACTCAAAGAAGCTCCTCAGGAAAATTTGTTTCCTAATGTAACGGACCTTGAAAGATATCGGGTCGATCCGATGATCAAACAGGAAGACAAGAAGCCGATATTACCACAAAATTCGCTGTTAAACAACAATTTGGTACGTGCTTCAGAAGACAACGTGATGAGTATGATGAGCCCAGGCTCGGACGGCTTTATGTTTGATATGTCACCGTCTCAGCTTCGAGTACCAAGCACTCCAAAGACGCCAGAACTGAGTGTGCCGAACCCAGTTATGGCCTTTGACCAGCAGAAGAAAAAGAGGAAAGAAAAGGGTGGCAAGAAAAAGGAGCCTAAAATTAAGGCTCCTAAGAATATTATAAGTCCAAAGAAGGTGAGGCTTTATATGCGTTTGTATGTTTAGTTTATTAATTTTTTACCTTACTTATTATTGTTGAAACCGTGCCATTATTACATATCTCTGAAGTTAATCATGTAAAGAGTACCAATTATAACAAACTAATTCTTGATTTGTACAGGCTCGTCTGTCGAATGACTCTGTAACTGACTTGAACATGCTAGATCGGCCAAAGACGCCGCAGGCTCCAGATCAAATGCAACCGCAGTTAATACCTCCACCAGCTGCCACTGTGCGTGATCAGAGTATGCCATCCTCGTTGCCGTTCCCGTTTTTCCCTCCGTTTCCGACAGCCCCCGGACTCATACCGCATCCAATGTTTCCGTTGCCGCTGGCCGCGAAGGGCTTATCAGGCATACCGTCGATACCCGGTGCCCCCAACCCAGCAATGATGTTGGGCCAGCGTTTTTTCAGGCCCAAGCTCGAATGTGTTCGACCACCGCTTGTACCGCCTTCGTTTATTGGTGGTGACCCACCTTCACAGCCTCATCCACATCAGCAGCAGTTGCTGCAACAGGTTTTTCCTGCCAAGCAGGCACAGCATCAGCCACTGCAACAGCTAGATAAACTGAAGACCTCTAGAAGTCCCGATAAAGAACCAAAACTCGTGACTCAGCCATTCCATTTCGATGTAAACCAGTCGTTGTTAGTCAACCAGCCACCGGTTATGAGCAACGTTCCCGTCGGAGTACCTACTCCTCTTGTACCGATTACAACACCGTCCGTTGCATCTGTACCTCTGCTTCCATCCCCTGCCCTAACCACTGCTAAACCTTCCAAGTTAGAAAAAAATAAGAATGAAAAGGTAAAGACTTGTTTTTCAATCGTTACGTGTATATTTTTATAATAAACTTGAATTCAGTTAATTTAATTTTCTTCGGATTTTAAGAAATCGAAAGAGCATAAGAAAGAAAAGAAAGACAAATTAAAAAAGAAGAAGGAAAAGAAAGAAAAGCATAAAGAAAAGGGAGAAAAGCTGAAAGAAAAGAAGGATAAGAGCGAGAAGAAGGAAAAGTTAGAGAAAATAAGAGAAAAGAAGGAAAAAAAAGAAAAAAGAAAAGAAAAAGAACTGAACAAAAAGATGGCAGTAAGTTTTTCGTGGTTATTTCACTTTTATTATTAAAATTATGTGTACGTGTATATTAATTTTATAGCATGAAAATTTCAAGTGCTTTAACGATAAATTATTTTCTCTTTTAGAAGGAAGAAAAAATTATTGAAAGTGTTCCAAAGCTTACTCTTAAACTGGGACCAGCTGGAGGCTCGCCACGACCACCGACTCCGGATAATGCCTTGATGAAGAAAATGTACATAGAAATTAGAATCATCTTAAAACAGAAGGAATACAAACTAGTTTAATTATTTGTTTCATTTTCTATACAGTACGATAAAGCCGCCAAAGAAACCAGAGGATGAAATAATAAAACGTGAGCCAACACCAGAACTGGCGCGCATCTCGCCTTTAGTGACAAGGCCACCCAAGCAGAAGTCAAGTAAGAAACTGGAAGGCATCCACGAGTCTTACGCCACTTTGCCCTTGGATGCTTCTTTTTCTAGTGCAACACTTGCTCGTAATTCTCGTGGGCCTAAGAAGCCTGTCTTTAAAACCTTACCTCATCGTGAACCCTCGCCCCAAGCTTCTTTTTCCTACACCGAGTCCTATGGCTCCCTCAAACCACTAGATAGTAGGCAGTATTGTTTCACGGTAAGTATACGCATTATAGGTGCGTATTGATGCGAATAAGCAGTAAATTTTCTTACTTTGTTAAAAATTATTTTATTTTAATATTTATTACGTGTTTAGTTGGAAAATTTTTTTTTTCCTTTATACAAGACTTGCTGTATTGTATATTAAACTTAGAAAGTGCGTAACTAATTATTAAAAAATTGCTATAAAGTGTTGTTTAATATTGTACGTTTGAAAAAAATAGTTTCTAAAAATAACTTAATATGAATAATTTTATATGGCCAGAAATGTGGTCCTAAGTATTTTAAAGGTTAATATATTAACATTTTTTGCTGCTTTTATTCGTATTAATTAGTTAGCTCAATCCATCAACGGGAACATCACATGTACAAGATTCAAGATTCAAACAAATGGTCAAATATCATCCTTATCCTCATTCCAACAATCATTCCATTATATTCACGATTTTTTTTGTTGCATCTTCTCAACTGTTTATCTTTATTTATTCTCAAATCTTCTGTAACTTTTCTAGAAGGTGATGGTATAGTTGTTGTCCATTATTTTAGTTAGTTATTTTCTTTACGTTGCTCTAGCTTTTCTGGTTCACAATTTAGTGCTATCTTTTTACTTTTTTTTTTTTTCGTTAAAAATCAGCCATCTGGAATTTTTAAACGTTACATTCTGACGATTTTGTTTCAAGTCGGTAATTTGCAAGCTGTATATTTAATACACGGTTATTTTTACCTTAACTCTAATATATTTGATTAAATCTAGTCAACTACGTAATTTGCTTAAAATTAGATAAAACTACATCTTGTTTGTATTTTCTTTAGTTCTTGCGTGTCTAAGTGTCATACTTTTATACTATTACTTCATTTAATTAATTTATCAATTTTAAGTGCACGGTAGTTATGATGCTTTATTTTTAATAATTATAATTACTAAGGTTTTTACAACACTTTGATTTAAATATCTAATTTAATAAATTCAATAAAATTTTCAAAATAACATCTTACAATGATTGGCTAAACAATACAACTATTGTTATAAAAATTAACTCTTCCAATTATAAAATATTGTTTATGATATTTGAAATATTTACTCTAACGAAATTCACAAATTAGTCAATTGATAAATTAATAAATAATTTGATCTAAGCACAAGCTTTTTGAAGTTTGCACAATTTTGGTAAAAAAAAAGTTTATTTAACTATCATACGTAATTATCTTTGCATGTAAAGTCTGCACGAGTAGTTTTTCGTATATTGAGTTACGTTAGATTCTTAAACGTCGCTTTTGAATGCCACAGAGGCAAAAGCAGATGCGGTTGCGAAAAAGGACGGTACTAAAGAAGATAAAGAAAACGGCGGGCTCGCGTTAACTGCGAAATCGGCTGTTACTGTGGTGAGTAATCCCAGAGAGGATCTTTGCACGTCACAGCGAAGTTCTCTCGATCTTTCAACAAATTTCTAAATATTTTTTTTTTTTTTTTTTTGCATTTTTCAAAGAAAATTTATATCGAAAGCAAAGAGTCTGTACAATATAGGAATCAATTACTCAATTCTCGGTTTGTCCATTGATTTTTTTAATCTCCTTTTTCTAATTTTTAAACTAATTTTCGCGATTTCCAAAGCATCATGGCTTATTATTTTCATCATTATTATCTCTATTCAGTGTGCCAAATTATTTTAGTAAATTGCTATATTATCAGTTATTAGCATTGAGTAGTCGACTCATTTTTAGGCATTAAAGTAACAAGCTACAGGTTTAATGACATTTCAGATTTCATTGCCATTTTACACTTACTTTTTCATTGCTACCATTCATATAATAATTACTAAAAATTTTGTGAAACGTTTTATTATCATTGACAAGTTCATTAAAATTGTTTGTTAAACTTCAATTATAAAATACTGAAAATTACTATTTTCGGAAGATGGGTTGAGCTACAGTAACTTTTACTCCACACATATATTTCTATAATAAATCGAATATTATAGGACGCAAGTGGGCGAACTGTATGGATTTGTCCTACTTGCGGAAAGCAGGATGATGGATCTCCTATGATAGGATGTGATGACTGTGACGCTTGGTATCATTGGTAAGTACATTTAATTTTATTTACAAAAAGTTGTAGAGTAGTTAAAACATTGAAACATATTAAGACAACGTATCTATTATTTTCGTAGGGTATGTGTTGGAATTCAAGTAGCTCCCGCTGATAACGAAGATTGGTATTGTCGCATGTGCATAGTTAAAAAGCAGGAGCAGTACCAAGATAAAAAAAAGAAGAAACGTAAAAAGAAGATGAAAGTGAGCGCCTAGTACAAATTGCCCGGGTCTGGTTCTGTCAGGCCTGGTTTGTCACCCCAAGCTTTGGCTGCCAAAGTAAAGAAAAAAAGCTTGCCCATAGTTGGAGGGATCGGAAAGATCGAAAAGACTTCGAAAGGCAAGGGATTAATAAAAAAAGATTTCAGCAAAAAACTTTTCAAAGACAAGTCACAAAAGTGCATGCCAGGAGTGATACCAGAACTTATTAAAGATAGTATTAAAAAGTGTAAAGAACTGTCTGTTGACTGAGTCGAGGTGTTTATGTTTTTTGTGATTTATCAAACGCGTGTACGTTAGATAGTTCATCCTGTAATTATATAAATTGATGAAAAATGAAATGAAATAGTTGTACATATATAATAGTTGGATAGACAATAGTCGTCCAAAAAAAAAAAAATGTTATAAGCTTGCAAAGTTTAACCAATCAGGGTTATGACTCAATTATATGTAATTATGTAAGATTAGTGATAAGTAAATAAGCTAATGAAGTAGATTTACATTGTATTTTGTAACTGGAAATAGTTTTTTTTTTTCTATTCAAATTTTATATGAGTTTGCAAATTAAGAATTTGATCACATTGTATATACACATGTATTAATAAGTATATATTTATATATATTTGTGTTAAAATATAAATCTGGAAAAACTTATTTTCCAAATTATTGATTTTGATTAATATTTCGCTGATTTAAAATACTAAAATTAGCTATCTTATTCACATACACTTGATTTAAGTATAAGATGTGTGCATAAGATTATTGCTTCAAATTATCAATGCTCGTATTGTTTATAAAAAGTGGAATCTTAACATAATGCGAGGTTAATAAAATATATTTACACATTTGTATCAGTTGAAAATATTTATTGTAAAAAAAAATAGTGTATACGTTCAGTATTCGATTATACTAAATATATTTTAAGCTGATAATCATACAAAAACAAAAGTTTATTACAAAGAAAAAAAAAATATTANCAACGTTAATCGTTTACAAAAATTTTATTTGCAGAATTTTTTTTTGTGATTTTGTAACCACATCAGGAAAAAAATATGCATTCCAAGTTTTTAAAACTATTTTTCAATAAATTTTTTAAAGATTTTTCGAAAATGTCTTAACTGGTTCAGAATTTATGAAGATAACATCATCACATTTATGTTTTAAAAATTAAATGAATTGTTAAAATAAATAAATATCAAAATTTTGTTCAAATCTTCGAAAAATTAGTTAAAGATTGAATACTAGTACGACTATAATCGGTTGGAAGAACTAAACTAAGCTTTTTTTCATGTGACAAAAAAATTATATACAATTATGTCTTTCTTAAAAATAAATTCATATCTAAATATACACTCGGATACAAAATGACTTGCGGCATTTTTACTTAAAATAAAAGGTAAAAACAGCCTCCTAACTTATTTCAGATTTGCTTTTTGATGGAGTAGTTGAATTTAAGTTTGTTGAATTTAATTCACCTGATTCAAGCTGTTTTAGAAGACGAAACAGTGCAGCTGCTTCTCTTATCCTACTAAACTCAATACAAAATGCTTGTACTTCAATGAATAATTCTCGAACGTCGATGATCTTATTTCTGATCAAAGACTGCAGGAATACACACACCAATCGAACCAATCGATTTTGCATGTAACGGTCTTTAATAGTTTCACACGTCGAAATACAATTGCTAATGTAGAGGTGTACAAATTCTTTAGGAAGATCAACTGTAGTCGTTAGTCGGTTCACAACTTCCATTGAATGAAGTGACATTTCCATATTTACAAGCACACTAAAATATTCTGTTATTTGGTTTGATTGCATTAATTTTAACAAAACTTCAATGGCAATTAGTGGATTATTTTCGACAAGCTCTGGTAGTTTTTGTGGAGTCAAACCTATGTGGTAAACAAGCTTGGAATCTTTTTGCAGAGCATTTACAAGATACTGCTGTTGTGATATACTTAGACAACCTTTGTAAGCTTTTGTCATAAGTCTTTTAGCTTCAGCGCCAACACAGTTTGATGCACACATACTTGTGTCATATTCTAATTTAAAATGATTTGGCTCAGACATGTTCATCCATGGCACTTCATCAATAGTGGATCTATGTATAGGAGGTACAAGCCTTAAAAATTCGGGCTTATAAGTTTGGGAAAACGGCGGCGTTGGTCCAATGACAAGAGACGTCAAAATATTTTTGCCTATACTTTTTGAGTCTTCGTTTAGATTAGTTGTTCCAATTCTGGTACCTTCAGATAATACGACTGATGTACCACACTTTGCGGTTGCAGGCATTTCGGATTGATGCTCAGCTAATTGCATTTTTAACTCGGTTAAATCACATTGTGGTGGAGTGTTCAAATGGTATAACTCTTGAAGAAGTTGCCTGGGTGTTTTTTTCATAGTCTCCCTGTATGTCATTGGATTCATTAAACTTGCTACCAAATACTTTTCACAACGTGAGAAAAAATAAGCCTTTTCTACATTCTCATCAGGAGTCCTTAAAATTTGAACAAATACCTACAAAAAAATTAATGATTTAACAAGTATGACTCCATAATACACTTAAATATAAGTTTAACAGTTAACTAAAGTTATTCATTAAATTCAAAGACGAATATTTAAAACACAGAAAACAATGCATACTTACTGGTGCAAATGGTGTTGATGCCAAGGGCTCGCCTTTATACAGATCAAAGAGCATTGCGATTGTAGCTGCTCGCTGTAATTCTCTCGGCATCAGGTCAACATTCTGCAACAGCAATAGTAAGGTCACGCCTATTTTAAAGCGTTTACACGCTGGAAATGCTGAATGCAGTTGGTTTGACAAAGTCTCTAATGGTGTGTTGGCATTCTCTTCATCCAACAAGTCCAACAGTTTAACCAAGTCTTTTGGTTGCAACATGAGTTTCGACGTTGCCGGATCCAAGTCTACATCCTGGATGTTATTATTAAGAACCTTAGAACTCATTTCGATGAAATGTTAGGTATTTCTCAACACACGAATTTCACTCTAAAAACAACTTTACTTATTATAACCTTCAATCCGAAAATTTTTCAAAGTATAATTATTACTTACGCTTATTTCAACGTATGAAAAGTTTATTTTTACTTTTTAGTAATACCTCTTAATTAAGAGTAAATATGGTTTTAGATACCTGTAAACAATTTTGCAACACTATAATGATCTTTTAAATTTTTTGGTGTATGGATCATGTAAAGTTAGATTTTCATTAATTTAAATTGCTAGAATTGAAAACTGGATTCTATTGTAAACAAAAAGTAATAACTACAACATACTTGGTAATTCAATCAACAAAACAATTATTACAAAAATCTTCATTTACAAATGTAAGTATAATCAGAGTTTTTTGAGTAACCTACAAAAAAATCTTTTAAACAATCAACGCTAGATGGCGTTGTGGCGTTTGTGTATCAAGAAAAGGTTAGTTATAACCTAGTGACTTTTTTATAGTGTTTTTTTATAGAGCGAGTCACTAGATTTTAGCTTGGCCTCTGATGGGCTGTCGGCTGTCGCTGTGACGCTGTGAAAATATCAACGCTAGATGGCGCTGGTCATATAAATAGCAATATGAATATATAACTTTGCAGCCTCTGATATTTTATCATTCTGGTAAAGAGAGCACGGTGTAAGATGTATGTGAAGTTATGTGTAGTAATTAAAGTAATTACTACTAAGTAATGCCATATGGTCGATTTTATTAAACCATATGAATATCAATATTTTTGGAGGTAGACTTTCGGGTGGAAAATAAATTGTAAACTTGCCGCAAACAGCACAGACCTCGTCAACTTTTTATTATCTATCTTTAAGATTAGTTGCGGCTGGTTTATAATTGGCTAAATGGCTCTAATATGAGAAGTAATAATTATTTGGATCAGCGCCATCTAGCGGTCTTTATTTTTTGGCCAAAAGTGGCTCCTAAAATTCTCAATCAGAGCATTCTGGATTAGAGCCATTTAGTCAGTTATAAACCAGCCGCAACTCATGACGAAGCTATAAAATAAAAAAATAACGATACGTGTGTTTTTGGCGGCAAGTTATCAATCTATTTTCTACCAAAAAATCGACTTACTATGTATTTATACTTTTGAAGATAAATTTTCGAGCATAAGATATATTGTTAGCTTGCCGCCAAAAACACACGTATCGTTATTTTTTCATTTTATAGCTTCGTCATGAGTTGCGGCTGGTTTATAATTGATTAAATGGCTCTAATCCTGAATGCTCCGATTGAGAATTTTAGGAGCCACTTTTGGCCAAAAAATAAAAACCGCTAGATGGCACTGATCCAAATAATTATTGCTATTTACGGTAAAGTCACTTTATTAGTTATAAACCAGCCGCAACAAATCTCATAGATAGATAATAAAAAATTAACATTTTGTATGCTACTTGCGGCGAGTTTACAATTTATCTTTTTCCTTAAAATCGACCTCCAAAACCATCAATATTCTACTTATCTTATATGGCTCATAAAATCGGCAATATTTACAAAATTACAATACTCTTGACCTTTTACCATTAACTTATGAAAGAACAGCTCTTCAACTTTAGATTTCCAATAAACGGTTAACTTATACAATATGTACATAGCAAAATTTGTGTTACAGAAATCGTAAATCACGATCAAATATACACGTATATTAATCAGTCGATAAGAGACAACTGAAGAAAAAAGGTCTTAAAAAAAAAGAAGTCACACGAAGAGTCTCCTAGGAATGGAGCATCGGATCTCACTAATTGAAAAATACATTTATTACAGAGATGTAAGTTTGAAGTGTTATAAGTAAACAAAAAACCCAACCTTCTCTGATCAAGTGAGATCCAATACTCGTCCTCTTCGTGTGACTGTGCTTCTTTTTCAGGCCTTTTTTCTTCGGTTGTCTCTTTTGGACTGATTAATTTGTGCTTACATGAGTTAATGGTAAAAGGTCAAGAGTATTGTAATTTTGTAAATATTGTCGATTTTATGAGCCATATAAGATAAGTAGAATATTGATGGTTTTGGAGGTCGATTTTAAGGAAAAAGATAAATTGTAAACTCGCCGCAAGTAGCATACAAAATGTTAATTTTTTATTATCTATCTATGAGATTTGTTGCGGCTGGTTTATAACTAATAAAGTGACTTTACCGTAAATAGCAATAATTATTTGGATCAGCGCCATCTAGCGGTTTTTATTTTTTGGCCAAAAGTGGCTCCTAAAATTCTCAATCAGAGCATTCAGGATTAGAGCAATTTAGTCAATTATAAACCAGCCGCAACTTATGACAAAGCTATAAAATAAAAAAAATAATAATACATGTGTTTTTGGCGGCAAGTTAACAATCTATCTTATGCTTGAAAATTTATCTTCAAAAGTACAAACACATAGGAGGTCGATTTTTTGGTAAAAAATAGATTGTTAACTTGCCGCCAAAAACACACGTATCGTTATTTTTTTTATTTTATAGCTTCGTCATAAGTTGCGGCTGGTTTATAATTGACTAAATGGCTCTAATCCAGAATGCTCTGATTGAGAATTTTAGGAGCCACTTTTGGCCAAAAAATAAAGACCGCTAGATGGCGCTGATCCAAATAATTATTACTTCTCATATTAGAGCCATTTAGCCAATTATAAACCAGCCGCAACTAATCTTAAAGATAGATAATAAAAAGTTGACGAGGTCTGTGCTGTTTGCGGCAAGTTTACAATTTATTTTCCACCCAAAAGTCTATCTCCAAAAATATTGATATTCATATGGTTTAATAAAATCGACCATATGGCATTACTTAGTAGTAATTACTTTAATTACTACACATAACTTCACATACATCTTACACCGTGCTCTCCTTACCAGAATGATAAAATATCAGAGGCTGCAAAGTTACGTAGGTCGTGGTGGTGGTAACGCCGCTTGGGGTATTTTCCGCAATCGTCGTCACCAGCTAGTAATTTAAATTTGCGCTCTACGTTACCGTCAGGTCAGTAAGTCAACTATATACCTTGAATTAAACTGGCGCTATATATATATCCATGGAGCGTACGTGCTGCTTTCTGACACAGTGTGTCGGCGAGTGTGGTAAACAATTGTCCGCAATCCACTAATTTACTTGCACGATACTTTTATTTTTAGTTAAAATTGTGTAAACATTTATACATGTTTTCTCAAAAACGATGAGACACGCTTCAAACATACGTGAGCCGCCGCGCCTGACTCGAGCCCTTCGAGCGTTTACGGATCTTTGTCGTAAAATAGAACTGAAAGACAATGATCTGAACGCAAAGAGGCAGGAGGTTGCAGCTAGACTTAAAAAGTATGTTTATGAGGTTATTCAAAGTTACATTGATTATCGTAATCTTTGACACTTGATGTGCTTTAGTTAATAGTATCATCTCCTTTCATTTTTAGTAGTATCATCTCCTTTCATTTTGAATAGTTATAATTTTTTTTTGTTGATTGCCATATTTGGGAGTAGGGAGTGCAATATTTTTTGGTTTATTTGTACTAGTTTTTTTTTAATGATAAATTTAATTTTATACTAATTCATACAGTATTCTATTCAATTTTTTGATATCAATTAATTTTTTACAGAGATTTGAATTGGAATGAAATTTGTCAGCAGTTGCCTAAAGATGTGGTACCATTTTTTTC